CCTTCCCGCCTTGCCGAGTATATTAACATTCGTAATTGCATTCGTACGCGTTGTATACAGAGTGAGAGTTAAGAGTCCGGAACCTGGAAAACCTTGTTAAAAGCGGAATGAATAGAGCAGACCGGTATCATCCGTGCCATCTTTCCGCGGCGGTGACCTGGTTTTCCTCCATTTCTCTTCTTCTTTTTTTTTTTTCTTTTTATACTTAACCGCTTATGTACTTTAGATAATCCACATTCATTGTTTCCAGGTACGCCTCCTCTTTTCCAGTCATTTTCCCCATTTTGATAAGACCGCGACGGAATTATCACCGACTTATAAATTATTATCAAGCTTTGGATTTCTTATCGTTGCATCGCTTGCGTAATATTAAAATGATATGAAAGGATCATTCTATATATATATATATCCAAACGACAAAACATTTATAAAACTTTTCTTCAAACTAGGTGCACCGAATCCATTTCAACTGTTAACACGTGATTATGGGAATTTTAATTATGGGTATTGAAACTCACGAAATTCCATTTTTCGAAAAGGAACAATTATTTTTCTTGGCTCTCGTCCGAGATAATTAAAGCACTTTTAAAGAAGCTCTTCGACGATCACATCCTACGATTCGATATAATTGTAAAGATTTTAGTTCTCGATGAGATTATTCTCGCAGTAAGAGCAAAATTTTATCAGCAGTTCTGTCCTTTGCTAAAAGTGCGATTCTTTTTTTTTTTTCCCGTGCGGACTTTGGAACGGATAAAACACATTTTTACTTCCAGCACCCTGTATATACGATAATAATCAACGGTTTTACACAATTTCTCAACGTGTATTTCGCCACTTTGTTTATCGAGCTCCTCCGCGGAGGAGAATTCCGCCTTTTGCGAGACATACCCGAGAATTTTCATTTCCGGGGTGGTTTCGGCGCATCTTTTCCAGGTTAATAACCGGCATCCGGTTCTCGTCGAACGTTCCTTCGATAACTATCAGTTATGCGACCGATCGATCGGGTTAATGGCCCAATTGAAATTGCAACCGAGCCTCCGAGCTTTGTATCCCCGGATTTGCATAAGAATCGCGTCGATTGCCGTTGCGCTTTACCACGTTTTTATCCTTTTTCCCTCCTCAAATAAACATTCTGCCTATTTTAGAGAAGCGATTGACTTTCGAGTACGAGCAACGAGCAACTTTTTCGCGACGAACGTGGAAGTGGATAATTGCGAAAATCCTCGAAAATTCGGTAAAGTTCCCAAGCGAGTCTTTGGTTGTAATTTGATTTCACATTTAAATGTGAATCTGACAAAAACATCGGTATCCATGCATATATGTAATTTATTGTTTCTCTTTCGGGTTACTCCGAGCTTTGTATCCCCGGATTTGCATAAGAATCGCATCGATTACCGTTACGCTTTACCACGTTTTTATCCTTTTTTCCCCCATCGAATAAACATTCCGCCTATTTTAGAGACGATTGAATAAACATTCCGCCTATTTTAGAGCGATTGACTTTCGAGTACGAGCAACGAGCAACTTTTTCGCGACGAACGTGGAAGTGGATAATTGCGAAAATCCTCGAAAATTCGGTAAAGTTCCCAAGCGAGTCTTTGGTTGTAATTTGATTTCACATTTAAATGTAAATCTAGCAAAAACATCGGTACCCATGCATATATGTAATGTATTGTTTCTCTTTCGGGTTAGAAAACGTCGGTGTCTAAATTATTGATAATTGTGCATAAAAGGGCGATTCCCGTCCGAGTATTTTCACATATATATACTTAAGGGCCGAATATATTCGGAGTTACAATGGAGAAAAGAAAACAGAAGATGCTACATACTTGGCTACTTTCCGAATTCCATCCCTTTCTTTACATCCATACCTCACATTCTTATTTATATTTTGCCATATCTATTATCACGTAGTCCACTGTTCAGTGCTCCGAGACATCGAAGATCGAGGATGAAATTAAGCAAATTTCTTATATCATCCCGATTCCTTATCTTTAGTTAAATGAATCTTCTTTCTCGATGTACAAAATCAATACAAGAATTTACTCTACAACTTTTACCAGTATACCCTGATAGAAACCGCCTATATAAATTTACATAATCATTGGTCATTTTGCGTGCCACAACAAATCGCACGAAAATTACACAGTCTCAGTAATACCCCATTCAGAATCTAAGTTAAGTAAAAACGCCCTAACACAAATATACAATCTTACGCGTATTTTTACATACATCTTGTATATATTTATACATCTTCCAATCTGAAATCTTTGCATTTTACATTTTTCTACGTAAACCTTCAGCTATGATCTATGCAAAAAATGTATATAAATTTCCATTGATTTTTATCAGTGAAGACAACGCGTCGAATTATACATTTTCCTGCCTCGTGTATCCGCCGAATCTCTCGTTCGACTTTCCCTTTTATTTTCCGATTTGTCTTTCCTTTTCTACGGCAATTTGGCGCCCGTAATTCTAAGTTTTCCCCCCTTCGAGTTTCGTCGCCTGATAAAGTGCTTCCCCCCCTTCTCTCGGATAATTCTGCAATAATTCGAAGTGCGCAATACATCGCTCGCTCGATGTAATTCCCGTAAATTGCAGCGGCCCTTCCCTTCGGAGCAGGTCCTCGTGTGTGCTTTCAATCCGGGCGGAGTCATCGTCAAGATTCATTTATTTTTTAAAAGACTTTGAAAAGCGTCACGCCCGGGAAAGTAATTGCCGACTTGGAGAGCGAGTCTGCGGAGATGTGTATAAATATTCAGGGACTCTCGTAACTCGCTTCGAATGCGCTCTGAATGCACTTAGAGCAAGAGTAGATTGCAGTCCTGGCGTTTCTATAAAAACGCGACTGGGATTGTCGAAAATAGAAGGAAATGCTTTAAAAAAATATATAAAAACCACAACTAAAAGGAGACATTAAAATTCATCGTTACGTCCCCTCGATCTCAGGGAATCGTTTAAAAGGAAGAGAACTCGCCGAATGTAAATCGTTGAAAATAGAGAGAAATGCTTTAAAGAAAAAAAATTATAATAAAAAAAAAATAAAAACCAACAACTAAAAAGAGGGGCATTAAAATTCTTCGTTGCGTCCCCTCGAACACCATTCAAGTATTTCTACTTCCAATTCAGTATATATCGGATGATTTATGCATTGTTAACGCGGCTCGGATTGTCGAAAATAGAGGGAAATGCTTTAAAAAAAGAAATAATAAAATTAAAACCACAACTATAAAGGGGAATTAAAATTCATCGTTACGTCCCCTCGATCTCAGGGAATCGTTTAAAAGGAAAAGAGCTCGCCCAATATAAAGCGATGAAAACCGTATCGATCGAATTTGGTGTCCTTGTGAACACCATTCAAGTATTTTTACTTGCAATTTAATGCATATCGAAATTCCTGTCCTCGCGAATACCATTCAACGATTTTTACTTCCAATTTAATGCATATCGAAATTGGTGCCCTTGCGAACGCCATTCAAGTATTTTTACTTCCAATTCAATGCAAATCGGATGACCGATGCACTGATAACATACCAAGTTTTGGTAGAATATATTCATGAGAATCGAATGAAAATAATATGCAATGGACGAGTCTTATTAAACAATGATTAAGACTTTTATATTCAATTTAATGCGTATTTCTGTAGAATATGTTTCTGGGAACGAGCTGAACATAAGGTTCAAAAGAACCTATAATAATTAGTCGCGAGTTCTGTATTTTTATTTTAACTCACATTCGCTACTAATTCAATGTTTTAGGAATGTAATAAGTTTCTCTAGAATATATTCGTGAGAACTGGCTGGAAATAACGTATTAAGGGATTTTTTAAACCTTCAATCATGATTCATAGTTGGGAGGTGAAACTTAAGACGCCGTTAGAACTGAAAAATAATAAACAATGTTATCTTTAAAAGATATCAGGAGCAGGAAATATCCGAACTTTCTACCAAAGAGCATCCTTTCGGTAGATTTTACCTCAACTATTCTTAAGATAAAGATCTCACATAAACAAATAGCATTTAGTTCAAATGCTATTATCAAATAATACATAATGAATGAAAAAAAATAGACTAGCTCATGATTTCTTGTACATTTTTTGTAGGCTAGTAACCTTAGGTTCCTAATAGAGTTGGTTCATATGTAAATAAACGAAAATAGTAAATATATAGAAGACCAACCTAAGAAATATGAACTCAAGAAGGGTCTTTCGAACACGAGTTTGAACCTGATCCAGGGGGGAACAAAGAACAAGGAAATCTACCGTTAACAAAAACATTTTCAGAACTCAAATCTGAAAGAAACGCTAAAAAACATCCCTATGAAACATACATCCTGTCATTTACTAAAATACATTTCTTGCATAAAAAGGTGCGATAAACTTGTAATTTTACCATGGACTACAGGATGTTTCATATTGATTGATCCAAAGAACGATTTATGGTATATAACGAAAATATCTAACATAAATAAATGCAACGTTAACAATGAGTTCCTCCCTTTAGCAGGAGTTACTTTAAAAAACTTTACGTCTCTACTTGTATAATAATTTGTACTCAAATGTAACATGCTGTCCTTATTAAATATTTTCATTTATCATTCAACGAAGAATCACATGAACCATACTAAAACTAGAATTATAAGAAAGGAGTCTATTCAAGTTCCCTCGATAACTATCAACAAGCCTTTCTTCGAGCTTGTTATGCTTCGCTAAAACTCTTCGCAGTCGATTCAATGCTCCTGGACCAGGTAAACCCTGTCTTAGTGACTGGACCCGTAACAGGTAACTAGAGACGTAAGAGGCCAGGCCACTCTGAAGCGTGCCGGCGCTTGTCTTTGGCGTCTTAAGTTTCACCTCCCAGGATCTCGCCATTCTCTAGAGTCTATGAGGCTCTTCGGCCTAAGAAAGGCACATATACAGGTTCAACATACAACTGTCTTCTAAAATCTACAACGAGAGGTTATTATACCATTGCGGAAGGGCCGAATTAAATTCCCATACCTGGTTCAAGGTCGTTGGAATGATGTCGGGAGTTTGCGGCAGCATTTTGGAGTCCTGCAGTCTCGTCTCCTGGAAGCGGCGAGTCAAAGGGCGCCGACAAATCGCATAGCACTTCGGTGACAGTCGCACGGCGAAGAAACGGAGTTAGGTTATGTCACTATACCCGATCACAAAAGTTTTACCTCTCCTCGCGGAAGTCCGGTCACTTCTGGATCAAGCCCGACGTTAGACGCCGAGTTCGCGAGAAGGATCGATCGCTCACGACCTACCGACGAACCCGTACACTAGCCAACCGCACACGCCGAGCTCGTGCGCGAAACTGACGGCGCAACATGGCGCCCGCTGCCGCCGGGCGGCTGCTCGATGCCGAAGATCCCCGAACCGGCACGGAAACGCCCGAACATTGCCACGGTCTCATGCGCCTTTCGAGCATCCCCGAAACTGATCGATTCGATTTAATGATCTGCGAAATTAAGATTTATTACGCGAGATTCTCACTTTTACTCGTCTTGTTGTTTATCATGGAAATCGAGGTGGTTGACTGGCTCGACGGCTGAGTAAAACGCAGTAAAATATTCGATGCTTTGCTGAGTCGAACGGTTGCCGCGCATCCACGCCATTTTGAAAATTTCGGGTCGATTAACGAAGATATCGATTCTCGACCCATAAATCGATGCTCTTGAAAAAAACCGCGAGAAATGCTAATCTCGTGTAATCTCAATTGTATATCGACACGGAAGAGTAATTGAATTGTTTAATAATTCAATTTTCTTCTACTTTTAAATATGAATGATTCTAGAAGGTTCAGAAGTGTGCAGGACTGCACAAAATTATTCTTTTACTGTTTCTTGCGTCCTTGTAGGTTAATAAAAGCGACAAGAATGCACGAATTAAGAAACCTTGAATTCCATCTCCTTCCTTCACCTTGTCTACTCGCCCGAGGCATAATATTCCCAAGTTAATAGTACTATTGTCTAGCCGTTGATACTGCACTTGAGAATCGAATATTAATCCCGTTAACGAGGATTATCCATTGCGATAATAGGCAGCTACAACATTCAAGTCTCTACTCAGGGTTATTCATTATGGCAATAGTAATCTCTTTAAAGGCAATTTTGAATGAAAAATATATCCAAAACGTTGAACACTTAATCTGAGGAAGTATTAAAGAGTCCTCGAAAAATACACATAATTTAAAAAACTTTGTAAACCTTAAATTAATTATTCAAACATAATTTCTAATCTTGATAAATCATTGTATCGTTCACTATATCCTACGTCGAAAAAGAAGGATTTGGATCGAAATAAATGGAGATGAAAAACGCACTCAAGGTGAAGAATTTCTATTATCTTACATGTGTCTGATAAATTTAACATGTATCCATGACACGATTCATCGATATCAAATCCTTGCGTTCTTTTACTGGTCCTTAAACGAAAATAGGGTAATTTAAATGCAACGACATCATAAATATGCACTTTGCATGTCCTATCTGGTATTTCCTCACATTTTCAAGTAGTTGCGCGTAATAGCCGGAATCGATAAAAAATGTGAATTTGTTCTTTAAAGACATTTATATATTTTTATACAATTACATCGTGATGATGGTTCAAAATGGCCCAATTTCCGTTTAAAGACTGGACAATTATAAAGTAAGGGAGTCGACGGCGTTAAAACTCTCGAAAGAGAAAAAACCACGCTTTGAAAGGATACACCGTTCTGCAATCATTTCGGATCTCCGTGTTCCTTGTGCACGGAGTTAAATCGATCTTCGTAGATGATCCGATCGCTGATCGTTGTTGGATACCTTGAGAACCTACAGCGCCGAGAGCGCTAGACGCTCATCAATAAAACATGTTCCCTTGGAAACGATGGGTGGTGAATGATCCATGCAGCGAACCAAACTATCCAGTCGTTCATAATTCAAGGTTTCCATAATTTTAAAAGTCCGTCCTCACTATACGAGCAAATCAAATTTTGATGAGGATGATGCGCCAAACCGATAACGTCTTTTTCATGAATCTGGAAACAAAGAGAATGGAGAGTATAGTAAAGGTGATATTAAAGCTTGAATTCGTTAGGTAAAAAAGATATGTACATACGTTTAGAGTTCGTTCCAGTTTTCCCGAAGACGTGGAAAAGCAGTAGAGTACAAGATCCTCCCCAACGCAGTAAATAAATTCACCCCGAGGACTCACAACGGTACACACAAAGTCACCACCCTCGCGTTTACCGCTGGAAAATGATCGCACTATTTGCCCCTGCATATTCATTATGACAACTGTATTCGAGCGATTGCAGACGACAAAATGTTCAGGGTTACGTGGGAGTGGATGAATACTGTTCACTGTGAGATCCGCCGCTCCCAACGATTTGTATGTACCTATGCACTCTGTGGTTTTTAAGCTCCATACTTTAACCGTCCCATCGGATGATGCACTGTAAATTAAGGAAATTAATTATGAATAATTATTGATTTTATTATGAAGTTTCGATGATCCCAATTCTTATTTATGATATTGCAAATATTCTTCTCAATTGAACATATACCTTATTATGTTGTGACCATCTGGAGCAAACACAACTTCATTTACGAATGACGTATGACCCCTGAATTCCTTCAAGGTTTTTCCTGACTTTAGACCATGTATTCTGTAAATATAAAAGTCAAATGTAATATATGTCATGGAGTAACTTGAACGAATTAACATATTGATTAAGTCACACCTTATAGTGGTATCAAATGATGCTGACAAAATTTGACTATTATCTCTGCTAAATTGAAGGCATGTAACACCTTTGGAATGAGCTTTCTCAAACCTCCGTAGACACTGACCGCTCTGTACACGCCAGACTTTAATTTTTCCATCCTGCGCTCCACCTGCCAACATTTCACTGTCTCGACTGAAAGACATGGAGAGTACAGCTTGCTCCATCATCATAAAATTATCTTGTGCCTGATACTTTAAATCTTTTCGTATTTTCCCTGTTGTGAAGTTCCATACTTCTATAAAACCATCTACGGATCCAGTAACCAGATACTGGCCATCGGGTGAAAAGCGAGCACATTCAACATGTGACTTTTGTCCAAATTTGATTTGTTTCGACAATTGAGTAGGATATTTTTCATCTTCTTGGTCACGAACTGCAGCCTTTCCTCTAAACAAGTCAATAGTTGTGCCAGGAGGTAATAAACCCTGATGTTGCTGCCATTTCAGTGCTTGTCCCAGCAGTGCTAATAATCTGCTGGAAGGTACTACCGATACTTCACCCGCCAACGCGGTAGCAATATAAGCTCTGCGCTTCTCCTTCGAACTCCCATCAGGGTAAGCTTCTCGCGGGTCAAAATAAGACCGAGCAAGTAAATTTTCTAAATGGATACATAAATATTATTTAAGTAACTCGGAGTAAAATTAAGACAAAAGTGATTTCCTTATTATACCTAAATGAATGTATCTTTCTGGTTCCTGTTGCTTCATCATTATCATCGGATCTGTTTGTCTTAGTAAAGACCGAGCAGCTCCTAACTCCCTAAGTTCAATAAGCTCTAAGACAACCTAATGTGCACCAAATAAAAATGGTATTAATCGTTATAACATTAGGATTCCATAAACAAGGTTCATTCAATAATCCATTAATTCATTACCTGTTCATATAAATCTATTAACTTTTTATCTGGTAACTTAAGAGACTGTATCGCTTTAAGAACTGTATCCCAGTGTCCATTGTTTATATCGGCTACGAAACCGTCAACGCTATCTACAGTGTTTAATGATACACCAGTTTCTTCCTGTAAACAAATAAAAGTATAAAATGTTTGGAAACGAGTAAATCTATGTTATTATTCATATCATATCTTATATCGTTACAGTACCTGGAGAGTCTGTAATGTCTTTACAAGATTAGATTCCTTTAGATACTGTTGAATAAGTCGAATCACACTGAAAATAAAGTTTTGTAAGATACTCTGATAATTCAGATGTAACAATAAGCTACTTACTCAGCTGATTCGATTTCAATTGACATTTTCCACCGTAGATCTTACTCTAAATAAAGTATTGGCACATATAACCTTATATTTACAATATTGTAAATACTAAGTTAAAAACAATCATATGCAACCATACACAACCAGACAGGCCATCGATATTGTCAAGTGTAGATATCGTTTGGAGCAAGGAAAATGAAGCTGTTTTAATGGACAAAAATGCCTTAGGCTGATATGTCATTTGCACTACAGCGACAAACGACAAAGTGACGGAAGTGCGAACAAAAGGTTCTGATTGGCTGCAGAGAAACAGCAAAATAGGGGCATTCTACCATACGTTCTTTGCAGCCAATCAAAACCTCTTATTCTTTCTTCTTGTCGCTGTAGCACTAACGAAATATCGGCTTTATCTTGTATTTTTTCAAAATATACATTTTGTACCAATCTATTATTTTGTACGTCTAGGGTATATAAATAACTGATAAAGTTAATCTTTTTCACTCAATAATGAAAATTCTTCAACTATTTTACGCTTTTTTTCAGGCAGAAGAAGGTTATTATCTTGTTACAATATTCTGCCACGTGTTTTTAATCGCATTTTCATATTTATGACATTTAAACATACGTTTAACACGAAATTCCTATTAGGATTGGTTTTGAAATAGGAGAATTAAAATATTCATATTATAACATCGTTGATTTTAATACATAATAATAAGGGAATTAAATAAAAACCAAATTTTTGGCATAGATTTCATCATTGAAGGCAGGCGACAAATGGATGAGGTTATGTTCCACTTTTGAAGACAATTCTAGCGCTACCTCCCGTCAAAACGTTGAACTAACCTCTTCAGCGCAGCTTCTGCGGCGATCTCCTAATGGCTGGTAATGGTTGTCAAGTTTCTCTATATTTTCGATTCGGGGATCGTTGAGGAATTTAGTTCGTAAGCTGTGCTGTCAAAAGATCTGAAATGTTGCACCAGAAAGTCAAGTCAACCTCGCACTCGTGAAGTAACAGGTCCTGGTGGATCTGTCTTCGTTAAAACCGATCGAATACCTCACCGAGATGGGAAGCGGTTATGTTTTTCGGTGGACAGTTTAACGACAATGGCGGCAATGTCCCCGTCGAAGGTAAGTCGGTATCTACATTCGTCTTGGAAATAATTCCTCTTCCTTTTCGGCGTATCTTGAGCGAATTATTCCACGAATTCTCCCGAAGGCTCGTCGCCAGGTTGACGCTTCTGTTCTGAGCATGAAGATTTCTTTATTGTTCCAGCAATATGGTGTTTCCTGTAAAATTTTAACGCTCACCGTTTGGAAGGTCCATTTAATTATTTCTACCAGTTCAGATCTGATATTATTTGCTTCATAGTGGTCTGCAGACATTTTCCAATATTTTCTAATTTTCACAGAGAGTTCCGAACCTTCCGTCAGTGTATGCCGCACACACTTAGGAGTTATCAGCATGTGTCATTTACTGTAATCACTCGTTTCACCCGGTAATTGCTTAACGTTTATTCCATCCTTTGTGGGGAATCCTTGACGACCAACTTGAAAGGTTGCCATGAAGTCAAAGAATAATTTTCCATGTATTTCTAAGTCGTAAGACAAGTTTACAAGTCTTATTAATACAGTACCTGTATTTATAATTATGTATTCTAAATTTTCAATAGTGACACTAAACCCCATGATACTCTCAACTCGGTCTCGTATTTCATGACCATTGTACTTAATACAATCCTTATTGGTAAGAAGTAGTTATAATGATGGTGCAATAACTTAATGAAGAGTTACTGCATACTTTGAATGTGCCGTGCTAAAAATAACAGCGTCGCATTTAAGCTGCACCAAAATATAATGTCATGTGCAAATGACTATTAAATTTTAGTCTTTTCGAAACTTAAAATATCGTTACTGCCTTAGCTTCAATTAATAAAGATCCTGTGCAAATCCAAAATGACTTTAAACTTTAAATGTTTGTATAAATATAGCAACGGCAATGATTAATTGCTTTTGAATCAGATTAATTTTAATATTGCTGCGATTTAATGAAACTTTGTGTAATTCAAAAATGCTAACTGAACACTGCTGAAATAAAGCACTACCTCTTTGGGTACGTGAGTAGTTCCAGTTAAATTCACTATCAGTAATTTATGTACCGAGTAAGAAAGAAATTTCGTTACCTTGCTACTCATTATTTTATTTATCCGTCGTAGGCTTTGACTATTTTAAAAGATCGTTGAAATTAATGAACAACAATTGCTGCAGTGTGAGATACATTGAATGAAATAAATTTCAGAAACGACTGCAAAAGGAGTTGATGTCTTTGATACGGGAGCCACCACCTGGGGTGCACGTTGATGGAGACCTTGCAGGTCAGAATTTGACCCAATGGATCGTACACATGGAAGGTGCCAAGGGAACTCTGTATGAGGGAGAGAGGTTCCAACTTCAATTCAAATTCAGTTCAAAGTATCCCTTTGACTCCCCAGAAGTCACTTTTATTGGTGGCAACATTCCTGTTCATCCGCACGTTTACAGCAATGGACACATATGCTTGTCCATCTTAACAGATGACTGGTCACCTGCCCTTAGCGTGCAAAGCGTCTGTCTCAGCATCGTCTCAATGTTGAGTAGCTGCAAAGAAAAAGTGAGTACAATAAATCCCAAAGTATGAAGAAATGTCCAACAATGAGACAAATGTATGGGCAATATGTTTGATATTTAATAAATTTATATCTCCAATATTTTCAGAAAAGGCCACCAGATAATTCTATCTACGTAAAAACATGTAATAAAAATCCAAAGAAGACAAAGTGGTGGTATCATGGTGAGTTTAATGATAACATTTTTACCTTGTCGGTGCTTTCTTTGTGAAATTTCGTTTCTCTACGTTTTATTAATTTAATATTTTGGTAACTAGATGACAGCGTATAGTGAAGAAGGCTGTCCAAAGGAAATTTATCTAAAATTGAGTGATTAAAGGAGCACCGTGGGTTTCTTGAGCTGATGCAGCTGCTTGGTAATAAGGATCTCTCAACGTAGCGTTGTTGGATTAAAATTATAAGAGCCGATTTTACTGTGACTGTAGAAACTCGAATGTGTTAAGTCAAAGTCTACGAGGTAATAACTACTGTAACAAAGTGTACCGGCAATGTTGAATCTGTGAATTATTCAGATGTAAATTATCAGCGTTAACTATAATGACGTGGAAATTATATCGTTGAAATACCGTTAAATTGTAGAGCACTAGTATTAAGTGAGAGAAGGACAGAACTATAATATATATAAATGTAAGGGAAAACAGTTGTTATCCATAGTGGAGGACTCTACGTTTCATTCGCATGATCTGCTACGGCGTAATTGCACCACTTCTCTTAATGCTGCATTGCTTATGAAGGTATTCTATTGATTAAGTTCTCTCATTCTGTCCGGCGACCAGTCGACGATGTGGTTCTGAAATTAATAAAGTTAGGAAATTATTTTGAGTCCTCGTTTCTCCTTCATCCAATACTTTGCGAATTTTCAGTGTTAACCTGCTTTTAAATTTTAAGGCTATTTTAAGACTGGGTGATTTTTAAAGATGGCGGCAAGAGACGCCGAGCTTTGAAGAGGTTAGGTCGCGATCAATTTAAAAGAGAATTGTAAAAAAGCAGAGAGAATTACCGCTGACGTTTGGGATAATCCGATAGAAGATGTATTTAGGCGCAAACGTACGCATTAACAAGATCGGAATTGTGGTGATAATTGCGTGTCTTGTTATTCTTTATTTGTACGCCAGCAGGAGAGAGTCGGCTCTTAATGTTGACAATCGCAATGTAATATCAATGAAAGCTCTTCTCGCCGGAGCGATTCGCGCTGCGGAATTCGGAGGACTGGAAGTGATAACCGTGCACGATCAGGCGCATATCACAATTAAGAGTAAAGGAAAAACTAAAGAGGGTATGTGATGTTCGAATTAGGTTAGCTACAACCTACTGTCACATCAGCTGATCATGTAATCTGTATTCCTAATCGTATTTGTAATGCTATCAGCATTAACACGTGTCTTAGGCGATAAATATTTCTTGAACCGGTTCTCATTACAATAATGAATTACTTAAGTGCACCTGCAAGGAATATAACACTTGTATTCCCATAATGACATCGGCATAATTATAATTACTATATTGCGATAGTACTAAACGCCAAGTTTTAATTCTTTTACTGTGTCATATAATTGAGTACAGATTCATGTTAATGATACACGTTTTCATATATTTAACGTTAACAGGTGTAAACGATCCGGTTACAACAGCAGATTACAGATCACATTGCACAATGTATCGGTCTTTGATAGAAGCATTTCCAAAGATAATTGTGATATCAGAGGAGAAGTCTGTGGGTTGCGATCATGTACCCATGCCAGATTCCAAGTTTTCAATAAAGGATTTAGAGATGGATCATTTAGGTAAAGATGTTGCTGTGAGCGCTAGTGATGTAACTGTCTGGATTGACCCATTGGATGCTACGAAAGAATTTACAGGTGACTAACCCTTTGCTTGAGTAATGCCATTATTTGTATCATCAATGAGTCTTTTTGTTACATTAGAGGACCTATTACAATACGTTACAACAATGGTTTGCGTCACTGTTAAGGGAGAACCTGTGATAGGTGTAATTCATAAACCATTTGACTCAAAGAGAACATACTGGTCATGGATTGATCATGGATCATCGGAAAATTTAAATAATCTTCCAGGGGTAAAGACACATCTGATTTCAGTATTCTTGGTCTGTAACTTTGATTTGGAAGATTGTGGATGACGGTAATTCTTTTATTGTTAAAAATAGCCACAGAAGAACAAAACTCCATTATTGACTGTGTCTCGGTCTCATGCTGGTCAAGTTCATACAATTGCCAAAGCTGCATTCGGAGAAGATGTTCAAGTGATCTCAGCTGCTGGGGCTGGTAAATACTTTTAAGTCATGATATTTAAACTGTCAATTAATGAGTTGATCATCATAGGTTTTCTATTGTAGGGTACAAGGCTTTAGAGCTCGTTGTAGGAAATGCCACAGCCTATATTCACACAACAGCAATTAAGAAGTGGGACATTTGTGCTGGAACAGCTATAATCAGGTAATTAAGTGGAACAACAAGTCTAATAAACATGTACATAAAAGATTCGATTTCTCTATAATAGATTAAGTTAATTTGTCTTTCTATTTTACTAGAGCTCTTGGTGGAACGGTAACACCTTTATTTGGGCCACCTGATATATCTTTTGGCCCAACAGATTCCACATCATTAAGTCTTGGTTTGCTAGCTACAATGAAAGATCATAATTGGTACCATGGTAAATTGAGCTCGCACGTGTAATGACATGTTTTAAGTAATGTGTACATAAATAAGCTTATATTTGGAACTTGCTATTAAATCGCTAATGTCCAATAGTGATTTAATGTGTTCCAAGTACTAGCTACAAAATCTAAGATCGTTTGTACAGACAAATCAGGTTGACGAGAAAAGAAGGAACTTCCATGATACTATAACATTGCGTTTATCAATATGTAAAATTCAAGTTTTATACAACACACAAATTTTGTACAATATTGACTCAATGCCGTTTAATTACAAATATTTATTAAGTCATGAGAATATTTATTAGTGACAATTGTAAATATTGAGAATTGTTCATAACTCTTTGTAGACATTTTTATACACGGAATAAAGAACAAAAATATGTAATAATAATGACTAAGATCAAGAGAGGTTGAATTAAGTATGATTAAAATGTTTAGTAATTGCTTGTAATAAGAGTTATAATTGCTTTTTGTTAACACCGCAAGATAGATAGAAAAATATAAATATAAAAGAGAAATAAAGAATATTTAAAAATAATTAAGCAAGCTATTAGTATTATTTCTTATATAAGAAATGCGTTCCTTAATTAATTTCCAAAATAAAATTGTATATGATTAATATGCACAATTGGTTCGGGGAAAGTCGAAAGAGAGGTCAGGCCACCATAAAAAAAAAGTACGTGCTAAGTGAAGTATGTACATAGTCATGTGTGAGGAGGTATAACCTCAAACGCGTGAGTGACAAGAAGTGTGAACGCTTCATTCGTACCATTTGTAGTCTTATACGTCATAGGTATTTCTGTGAAATATGTTTACCTACTTTTTTGACCACTTCGAGATAGTACTGTTAAACTTATCGTGGTTTTACATAATTAGCCTAGTAATCTCATTTTCCATCGTATTCCTAACCGCATGGATCTATTTTGGGAGCCCAAGTGACAAAACAGCTGAGGTAGGAAAAATTTATTCTGCATGTAAGAAATTAGGGAAAATGTATACCATTAGCTTTTATGACGTCGATAGGTTCAAAACTTGAATTCAATGCTAGAGAAAGATATTTATGATGAGCACAACCATGACGAATCAATGGATACGGAGGATGATTCCCTGCTAGAATATGGGCTGCAGGCACGGTTTAAATTAGCTCGACAAAGATTGGTAGAACAAAACTTAACGTCCAAGCAATTGAACAAGGAGAAAGAGTAAGCTATTCTTGTATAGGAAAATGTGAATATAAATGAATAACGCACTGTGTGGTGGTGTTAATGGTTTTACAGATTGGAGTCACGTACTTTAGCAACAGCCCTTGAGTTGCTTAAGCAGAACAGTAGTGGATCTGAAGTATTTACAATGGATGATTTAAAAGAACAGATGAAGCTATATAAAATTCAATGAAAATTGTCTTTTACTAATTTGTTTGGTATAATTGTTTTGCAAGCACTACGTATAGTCATACAATCATAGGTGCACATTGTATACATTATCATTAAGTTATAACAAACATTACATATCAGACATCTCTTTGAAGCTGAAATAACTTGACTATACCAATCAATTAACTAAAACACGTATGACAAACTTTATAAAACATTTTTGTACACAACAGATTTTGATACATTGACAATGAAATGTTGAAATGATTCAGATTTAGACAAAAAGTGAACCGTTGATCAATTTTATTGTACCATCGAAGGATTATTACTTTTGCATATTTCAGAAATCAAAAGCAGTGTTTAAACTGTTGTTACCATACAGAAAGAAATTTTCATACATCTCATATTCAGTGATATACAAATAATGGACTCGTTTATTATATAAGTCTTGTCGCGCGAATATCTATTTATTACTTATTTCCGATGTAATAATAATTTTAATGTTGTACTGTTAGATTTAAGTAACCCAAACATGTGTATTACTGTCGTTACGTATGTACATTAAATAATTTACGATTTGAGGACGATTTTTCGAATACTTAAAATTCCCGCCAAATCTGAGGTTAGTCTGGAACTTTTAACCTTAAAATCAGTGTTTGACAGTTTGGATCATTGCGGTTGATTGCAGTCCAATAACACGTTTTATTTACATGTAACCATTAAAGATTGCGAAATGTGAAGGAAAAAGTAGCTCGTTAATGCTTAATCGGATGAACGGTGTGCACGCGAATCGCTACAATTGCATAATCAATGTTCCTTGTACAAAGACCAATTATTTATTGTAAAATGTAATTTACATAAAATGCAAGCATACTGTAGTTTCGTTGATCTTTAAATTGGATGAGTTTAAATCTTTTTAAGTTTTAAACAGCCATGTATGACATCTGACAGTCTTCTTTTAATATTCTACCGATGACATCAGCGGAGTATTTCATTAGTCTCATAACAGTGGCCAGTGCCAAAAAACTGGCCACTGTTCTTGTAATATGTTTCATATTATACCATGGAGTGATGCATTTAATATATGGTAAGGCCGATTTGTTTATATTTTTTTTTGTCAAATTTAGTCCCCAACTAAATGAGATTTATATTTCAGGCAGTGACTCGTGTATATGGCTATTAACAGAAGGACGTTATAAAGGGGATAAAGAATGGCAACCATATGGTTGTATGATGCATCATTACACTCAGACGTAAATATCGTGTGCAGAAAACATAGCATTGTCTTAAGAATTACCATTGATAGATTTTATTTTGATGTAGAGACAGTCGCAGATGTCTTCGATACTTAGCTTTTATGGGTCATCATAATCACTTTGTCTTTAGTGGAGATACAAGGATTAGACAATTGTATAAAACATTTGTTTCACAATTTATTGTCGATGGCAAAGCATCTGATCTGAGTAATTTACCTGAGAATTCGGATTTAACATTTGACGACGCACAACTCAGATTGAAGGTCCAGTTTCTATGGAGGCCTACATTAGATAATTCAATGATTGAGGATTTTAGAGGATGGATGGTAGCATGTATACTTTTATCGGTACTCAAATATCTGAAAGGTCCACTTACAAATGTACATTCAGACCTTTTTTCATATTTTATAGAATGATGAAGCACCCAGCATGATCGTTGCCGGCTGTGCAGCAGCTGATATACTTCGAAATAATGCTAGTGACATGCGACTATACTCGGAGTATAGTTCTGGACTGATTAGATTGGTGCAACCAGCGGATGCGCTAGGACGAAAGGGATCAAGGTTTTTGTGGACAATGCAGGATCCAGTTTTGAAGGAAAGACTTCCTATACACTTGTCTGCTATAGACAATGCACAAATTAATCTATGTAATAAGGCATCTTTCGAGGTAAGTTAACGTCATCGTTGCATTTTTGTTCCATTGTTTAAAATGAAATTGTTGAATGTGTCTCAATCATTGCTTACATTGGAGTGCTTTTGTGTCGAAAGATACTATCTCATAGTGGAGCACATTTATGGGAAAGCAGTAGATTAGTTGGTACGGGAGTACTCGAGCAGAGTCCAGATGGGTATTTGTCTAGTTCATTGTCACTACGACACAAAGTTCAAATATTGCTCAACACTCATTGCAACGATCATATGAATTTCGACGATGGAAGCTGTTGTAGTTATCCAGAAGCAGCAACTACTTTGCAGCTTCTTACTTTTTCCGCCCTTGGATTATGGTAACTATTTACAGCCTAATTGAATATGTAATTCTGTGTCTCATGATAATAATCACATTGTCTCGCTCAGTATAGTGATTGGTGGTGGAGCATGGTTGTACAAGAACTTGTTTCAAACAAGTGTTACCTACTCGAGAATCTCAACCGAAGAAATTGAACGAGCTGAGGAAATAAACCCCACGGATGCTTCAAAAGTAGAACAAACTCAGTCGCAGGACTATTATACCTTGATCACGTCTCTTGCTTTGCTTTCCATTATATTTGCATACTTTTACCTGTGTGACAGGTGTGTATGGTTACAACTATTTCTCTTTTTTATAGCATTTATAGATCACCTCACATCTGATATCTTTCAGGACGAATTTCTTCATGAAGGAAAATAAGTACTATAGTGAATTTAGTTTTTGGCTACCCCTGGGTTATATCTTAGCACTTGGTCTTTTCTTCACCGAAGACTGTGAACGTGGGCCACGTGCATTAAATCGCGAACAGACAGACGAGTGGAAGGGTTTCATGCAAGCCGTGGTCCTAATATATCATGTAACGGGTGCCAGAAACGTTTTACCAATTTACATGCATCTGAGATTAATCAACTCTGCATATTTATTTCTTTCTGGCTACGGGCACTTCTGCTATTTTTGGCAGCGTGGTGATATTTCTTTAGTAAGATTCATGAGGGTAAGGTGAACGCTATTCCATCAACGATTAGACATATTTTTAGTCTTCATTTTTATTTCCAACTCATATATATATTAACTTAGTGTGAATTCTTACATTTCAGGTCCTCTTCCGTCTGAACTTACTGACAGTCTCTCTCTGCCTTTGTATGAACAGGCCATACCAGTTTTACCACTTTGTTCCATTGGTCTCCTTTTGGTATCTCGTTGTATTTACATTGGTCTGGTTACCACCGAGAGTGTATTCTGGTAATCTTGTTGAATACAGTCCACGAGCATTACTCTACTTAGTGATAAAGCTATTGGGCCTTTTCTCAATTATCACAGTGCTTTATATGTCGGAGGTACTTATTTGTAATACTATGTCATCTAAACGTAATTTTAGTACTCGTACTGAATTGTACACGTAAGATGGTAACTATTTATCCTTTTGTTACTAATTTTACTAGTTAATGTGTAATATCTATCTGTAGGTGTTTTTTGAAAAAATTTTTGTAACCCGTCCATGGAAAGCATTGTTCGTAACAACTGACGATGACATTAGAGAGTGGTGGTCACGTTGGAGAGTAGATCGATACAGTGTAGCCTGGGGTTTTGTCTTTGGTGCTGGCATGCTGGCATTGCAACGGCTAGATCACATTCCAGGGACTGCTTTAGCTCCTGTCTTAGGACTTGCATCCCTTGCGGCCTATACCACCTTTACGATACTCTGTTTATCGGTCTCTGAGTGCGAAGAAATTCACTCCTATGTGGCTTTCATTCCGGTATGATTTAAATTCAGTATACTACTGCTCTGTTTTTCTAAAAAGTTGATGATTAGTGCGAGTTTTTGAAGTGTAAGTCGAAATGTCATTTCAGATTGTGGGGTATATCATTCTGCGTAACTCATCTCTAGCACTGCGAGGAAAGCACTCTGTTCTCCTAGCTGGCTTAGGTCGTATCAGTTTAGAATCTCTCGTCAGCCAAGGACATGTCTGGCTGGCAGCTGATTCTCATGGTGTTTTGGTACTTCTGCCTAGATTTCCAGTTTTGAATTTACTTATTACATCCTTCATCTTTATATGCGCCAGTCATGAAGTAAGTATCCGGTACATTTAATTATACAAGCTTTATGTTTCATTTTGTAACCCCTTGATCTGTTAGATATATAACTTTCCGACATTTTCATCTAGATTTGTTTAAATCATTTTTCATTTATGAATTATTTAGATTTCAAAGTTTTATGGGAAAACAATTAAATTCCGTAAAGACAGAAATTAAAATAACCGTCGAAAATACTTTCTACTTTAAAATCTGATTACGTATTGATTTACATATTCATTTAAATCCTCAAAACTAATAAACATAATTGCCTAATTGTGCATTTATGTAGTAGATAATTATTGACTAAAAATTATATGTGACCACCTGTAGCTTTCTTGTAACTTTTATTTGGCTGTTTCATGAATATTCCTTTTCGAGTAAGATCAGCGATAGATGTATTACTTTCTAATATAACTTGGAATATTTTACACACTTAGTAACGATTCATTTTGTTTCTCTTTTACATAGATTCACAGATTGACGCGTTTATTAGCGCCCTATGCTGTGCCAAATGACTGGAGGTTGGTAGCCCGTAATTTTCTGTTATTCATCGCCGTCCTTATACCCATTGGCATTCATGATGGAATGTTTTAAAACATCGTTACAGTTTCTTCGCTGTAACCCTAAGTCATTAGTAAGTAATTTCTTGAAGCAAGTTTTTCTTGCAGTTTTTGTAAATATTAGATGTCATCAACAAATGTGTGATGTGACAAGTATTACGTACAGGTTGTACGTTCTCTAAATGAATATTTTCCTCACCTTGCTTTCCTGGGTGAGGAACACATCAATTGTGGAAATAAATCAATCAGGCATTAAGTAATGAAAAAATGCATTAGGTGAATCACTGTGTATATTTTTTCCCTTTTACTTATTTATAATCCATGTGACTGTTTAATTTAATCGACTAGTATGTACAAAATGCAAAATATACAATCAAGATTTTTAAATTATGGACAGCATCGCTTCCATTCCTTGTTATGTCTTTGTTGTATATATGTTTGTTTAATATTTGCAAATAATTACGAATACTAAAACGTCACACACTTCCCGCCAGCAGGAAACATAATTTTTTACGGAGTTATTCCGTTTCTTCCTCTCTGAGATAGATTAACTTGTAATTTTATTATGCATGAGCGAGACTTGAGAATCTTCAAAGAAAAGAGTAAATAATCCTTTAAAGTCATTTAAAGCTGTCTTCAATGCGTTTAATGTTCATATTCTGATAGTCTGCCAGCTTGGAGGTTTAAAAATACTATAATGCACTAACTTTGCTAATCATTATTTTTATCTGGTATTAAGTATCCTGTGACTTGTCATGTTTCACTTGACTTGTGTAGACATCATATCCCAAGGATATTGTGTTGTCATAAAGTACTCTGTACTTTGTTGGTAAAAAATAAAAATTAATCAGTTGCGCCGGAGGCCATACTACCCATTCAGCTACATAAAGTTTATGTGCTTTTCCTTTAACTTCTTCTTTAAAATTACTCAAACTAGTTTTTTCAAGAATGGCCAGTGTAAAAAATAGCGTTGCTATGCACAATGGAGAACAGACCAACTGATCAATAACAACCTTTTTTAGTACAATACCAATTGTTCGTCCACTTATTTTCGAGTCTAGGTAACGGTACCAATGGTGGCAAATAATGCCAATTGACATTCCAGATATAGCCATGTTTCTAGTTCTTGTTGGACTCCAGCAAGTTAATTCCTCCTGTATTACATAATTTGGTTAAGAGAAAACTAATCAATATGATACCCAGAAATGATTCTCATATTAAGTATTACCTTTAAAATTTCGTAGTGTTGCTCTAAAATATCACCGATTCCTGAAAGGCTTATGGATATGGCTACATTCGTGTAAAATAAATTCTTTTTGGAGAACAGTTGATCCCTTAGAACGCTGATTCGACTGGCAAATAAACCCATTCCTTTAACGGCATTCATTTTTCTGGAAGGTAAACAAACATTATGTATCGTTTTATATAAGGTTCAATTGCAATTTTGAAATGATCTGTTTTAATTAAAGTCAACTTAGAACTACGCGATACATTAGAAATGTATATCTTTATAAAGATGTATAAACGGTGCAGGAGCCAAATTAGTAGACCCGGTGTCGAAACACATGTCCATAGCGTTTGGAAAGGTTATGTATTATGTCATAGATTATCTCACATTTAATTGAATTCTTATCAATTTGATTAGAATGAAAACTACACCAGGTTACGAAGCAGGAACCAACCTTAATAATGTTGATGGAATTTTTGTCAACTATTAAACATTTTTAATGTAAAACATGTTGGAACGGGCTCAAAACCAGCTATTAAAAAGGCACCAAGGCATGTGATTGGTATGTAGACAATAATACTATATAATGTGTGAAAACTGTGTATATTGGTACGCATATTTTATATACAGATATATAAGCATATGAAAATATATCTGTGTATAATAAATAATGTTACCTTTATATACTTTTATAAATAAAGAGATCCACCCGAGGAACTGAAATTTCAAATTATTAGTACATTTACGCATGCTGCCTTAAATCAGTTTTATAGCTACTGTTGTTAAGCGCTGTAAACGGCATTTTACGTCGGTAAATTTGGAGTAAAACATTGTTTATACGGCATTTAATGTCAGTAACTATAAAACTGGTGTGAAGTAGCATGCGTAAACATACTGATTGAGTAAATTACATTAACAAATCGGTAGGTAATGTTCGAACTTGAGTAATAAGGAATGTGTCCATACTAAATGTGAACTTGTTTCGGCAGAAGCCCGCTAAGTGACAGTGGCTTTTAATAGCTGCAAAATTCTGAATATGGGCACTTTCTTCTTCTCCGTTTAGTATTCATGATAGATACAGAATTTTGACGTTTGTAGCAGAAGGGTCTACGCAAAGTAAAGTCAGACCACGGCCAACAGGAACTACGCAGGAAGGAATAAACAACTAACAAAACTTTAAACCATTGGTACTGGACCTTTAGCCAAAGGCTGAAATTCAAAAAGATACAGATACAGAAATCAAAGAGTATTAGATAGAGCGGAAGGTCCCATAAGACTTCTAATACTCTTTGCTAATATTCTTTGGGTCGACGGTGTCAAAATTCGTCGAGATTAATTTGACAATTTGTTACGTTAAAGGTTACCTTTAGATTTGAAAAGATGAACAGATTGTTTGGACGAACAAAATCTAAGGAACCACCGCCAAATATAACTGATTGCATTGCTGGGGTAAGAAGGAGCATGTAACGTCTAATAGATAGGTTATGAGACGACCTTTTATGATGAATCATTTCGATGTTGAGTTTAACAAGTTTCAAGATTGATTAAAAGTTCCCACGTTTGAGATCAGACATTGCAATGCTTAATACACTGGAGGAAACGTGATTAAATTACCTTTAAATTTAGGTCGACAGTAGAGCAGACTCGGCAGAGAAAAAAATAGCTCGGCTTGATGCAGAACTCAAGAAATATAAGGATCAAATGGTGAAGATGAGAGAGGGGCCTGCAAAGAATGCAGTTAAAGCCAAGGCTTTGCGAGTTCTTAAACAACGGAAAATGTACGAATCACAAGTTGATAATTTACGTCAACAGGCGTTCAATATGGAGCAGGCCAATTACGCTACACAGACTTTAAAGGACACTCAAGCTACCGTTGTTGCCATGAAAGAAGGGGTTAAGCAAATGCAAAAAGAGTTTAAAAATATAAATATCGATAACATTGAGGTTTGTGGAACAATGTTAATAGTACTTTCGTAATATTGTGGCTTTAATACTCATTATTTGTTATCCTTTCAGGATATGCAAGACGATTTAGCGGATATGTTAGAACAAGCTAATGAGGTACAAGAGGCAATGGGTCGAACTTACGGAGTACCTGACATTGATGAGGATGAACTTGCCGCAGAGTTAGATGCTCTTGGTGATGATCTTGCTTTGGATGACGATACTTCGTATTTGGATGATGCCATTAAAGCACCTAGTGCTCCGGATAAAGAACCTGGTGCGAGTTCAATTAGAAATAAGGTTAGTATTTGAATGATTTTATAGCTGTAATTTGTTTGAATACATTTCCTTCTAAATAATGACATTTAATTTTGAATTCTTTTAGGACGGTGTCTTGGTAGATGAATTTGGATTACCACAAATACCAGCTACTTAAATTTTTTACATTTGTTGTCATTGCCACTTAATCTGCTATAAGCCAATTAATCATACAGGCACGTTCAAAGCCAATGGGTGCTCCCTGGGTTTATGATACGTATCTTTACACAAGAAACTTGTTACAATCTACATCAAACTATAAACATAAGTAGCAAAAGATATGCAGATTTTGCCATACTAATTCTTGCAACAAGCTTGGCTGTTTCGATAACTATTTAGGAGTTGTATTTCAATTGCTTGCATGTTTTAGGTACACGTTTCGTAAGTAATGCATATTATATTTAAAAGTCAGTGATTTATCGGTTCTTATAATGTCTGTTACACAATCTTTTGTTACTAATAAATATAATTGGTTAAATTAACTGTAATCTAGAGATGTTCATGGGTTTTTGATTTTGAACCTCTGTATATTGTTGAGCCAGGCTGGTAATACACTCTCTACTTTCTTCAAAGTGCCCTTCTTCGAAACCCTCGATTTGTATATAGTGATGAGTGTGAGCCTAAAATCCATAAATAATTTAGTACTGCAGTTATAAACTTACATTTATTACATGTCTGACTTCTTATCACCTTTTTTTGATACAGTCTGTTAAACTCATGAACAATGTTTTTAAATACTGAAGACATGGCGGATGAGTTTAGAAGGCAAATGAGGGAAGCGGTATGTCCTGATGGTGGAACGGAACATAGTCCTACTTTCATGATGTCTTTACTCCATGGTGTAAAGTCGGCTTTGCTTTGAAATCTGTAATGAAATTAAATTTATCTAAAACATTATGACTAATATATTGTACATAAGTAATGTTAGAAATTGAACCTCAAAATGTTTCTTCTTATGTCGGTTAAAGATGGGTTACCCCTTGCAATGTGTGCAGCTCCGAGTATCACAGATCCTTTTCGTAACGGATCCACTTTAATCAACTGATTATTCCGTGCCCAAGCATTGGTGAACAATTCATCGAACATCCTTCAATTTTATCAAATATTGAATGTATAGAAACATAATTGTAGAGTGATGTACTTGAAAAGTACATACTTGCTTCCTTGCACCATAGATCTAGTTGGTGCAGTAAGAGTAACAGGACTAACGCTACTAAAAATATAGTGTAATTGTGGGTATGCAACCAGGTTCGTTACTAATTCATTCATGTCAACATTTAAATTGCCAGAAAATCTGGAACCACTAGAAATATCAAACAGTTAATGAGATTAAGTTGATCTACAGGTGTTAACAAAGCTTAAAAATTACCTGGTTAAATGGAGAAGCATATTAACAATAACACTATTTATATCGTGATATGGTTTGCAAATTGCATTATATTTTGCTTGATCAGCATTTTCTTTCTTCTCCATTTGAGCACTGCAAATTTCCATAAGAGCTTTGTTCTCTGCTGGGAACACACATGTAGCATGTTCCACTAACTCGTGTGTGCTTAGTAAAACATTATAAGGAGCAGTAACAACGTCCGATGATCCAGCAGGATAAACACATGAGACAAATCTGTAATATTTTAAAACTTGATACTAAGAAAATACTATGTTCAAAAAAGAGAAGTTGTTTTAATATTACGAACAAATTGAATGCATTAAACAAATAGTGTAATATTGAAAACTATGTTGATATAATAAAGATTATGAAATTATGACAATTATACCGTGAGGAATATCACACCTGTCTACAAGAGGATAATCATCATTTAGCAACTTTAACGTTGCCGTGCCTAAGCCGGATCCAGTTCCTCCGCCCAAAGAATGTACAATTATGAAACCATGAAGTTGGTCACATTTCTCAGCAGATAACCTTATTGCGTTACGTAAATGATTTCGATATTCTCTTCCGTGAGTGTAATGACCAATGGCCCTGAAAGTTGAAAGTAAATTGTAATATAAAAAACTGCAATGTTAAGACTTATATTACAGGGCTTAAAATGGGCTCACCAATTATTTCCAGAGCCTGGATAATTTGCAACAAAGCATGTTTGGTCAAATAGTCCACGCATAGGTCCTTGCTTGAATCTGGATATAACGCTATCTTCCATGTCGACTAAGATGGCCTATAAAATATATATTATACAGTAATTGGTTTTTCATAATAATGGACATTTAATTTATGAAAATTTACCCTTGCTTTTACTTTTGCTTCATTCAAATCTCCGATGGTGTTAAATGATACGTTGTTTCTACCATTCGGTACATAGAAAAAGCTATCAAAAGCATCCAATACATCTTTAAAGTTTTTAATGTGATCTCTCTGAGTTTTCAGTAAATTCACGCCACCGCAGGATGTTTGAATTCCATATTCGTGCAAAGCCAAAGGCCAAAACGCTGCACCAATTTGATTACCGCATTGTCCAACTAAAATAACGTGTATCAATACTTCCGACGAACATATTTCATTGCCAACAATTCTCAGAAAACAAATATTATACCGCTACAAAGTAGTTCATTACAGTTTACACTAGTTATAGTACATTATCAATAATAAATATATAAAGAACATTTTCTCAAAACTTACCTTGTACAGTAATAAACTGACTCATTATAGTTAGCGAATAATTAGAACTTAGATTTCATTTACTTTTGTACAGGGGAACATTTTGTTAATTCATTTCTATACCACAGCGATTCACTACAAAACTATGTCAACGTTCCCTCATTATCTTATCATTAGTAAGAGACCGCTTTTAAGAATGGCAGGTGTAGCTTTTTAAAATTTATTTGTACAGAATCAGACCATGTTTATTTCTGTAATTTTGTATATTCGTTGACACATGTTATTTCTCCATTTTTGACGGACCACAAGTTGGTTGCGTGATTAATTATGCCGGTAGAGTTCAAACGGTTGTAGAGTAGCCAACATTGTTCAATGTACTATTGGAAAGTGCACGATTTAAATATTTCTTATAACATCCAAAAAATAATCTTAGCGCAGTGTAAATACATAATGAAATAATTCTACAAAATATTCCGCTGATTTTTAGGCGTAATATTCTTAAAGTATTCTAAATAAGCGAAAGAATTGTGATTAGTTTTTAAATATGATTTGCCTGGGTCCGATAGAGTTGTTGGCAGCCGTGATTTTCAAATATCTTTTACACGTGCTTCTGTTAATGCGGGAATTTGGTGCATCCAAGAATATGAACTCGCACGGGATATGAGTTGAATAAGTGAACTTTTGTAACAGAAAGAAGATATTATTGTAGAAAATGAAGGGAACCGTACTTAGTGCGGGCTGTTTAATAACCCTCTTTATGTTATACCCTAGTATTTATTCGGAATTAATTGATTCAAGGAAGTCGAGTGAGTTGAGCGAACTAACCTAAAATTCGACATTGGAAACTTACTAGTTTTTAAATGCAGATAACATGTTATATTAAATAAATCTACGCTATTTATTACGAAATCTGATAGAAATGTGTAAATAGGTCAATTTAATGTTGCAGTTTGATTATCATTATCATGGGTGTGATATTTTACGATAATTGTAAATGCCAGAAAATTGTTACATCGTTTTAATGTCGTTTATATTTATGCTAAACTATATCACTAAAAAGTGAATCAGTTCTTTTTTTACTTTTATTTGTGGTCTCATTTTGTAAACTATTAAAAGAAGATTTGCGTATTCGGTTCTATTAAGTAATTATAAATAATTTTATATGATTATTAACAGTTCATTTTTTGGAACCTGGAGAAACCAAGGAAATTTTAATGCGCGGAACATCGTCCTTTGATATATTCTGTCACAGAAAGAAACCAAAACATATATTTCATATTTGGAGAACTATAATGGTAATGTAGTATTTGCAGTTACAAGAGAAAAAATCAGTATTTGTTTGAACATTAGAATGTTATAAGATAGCTTTGTGCATAAATGTAATAATACATTCATTTTATCATAGATACACTTGAGTAATAATTTAGATAATTATGAAGTTTTTGATGGAAAATCTCCTGTTGAAGTAAAAGAGAAGTATGAAGAGGATCAACGATCTTGGAGATTCAATATCTTTAGTGCAAAGAAAATTAGGAATATGAGACTGAATCCTTTTGAAGAAACATGCATTGGGATTTTTACGCCTGCATATAACAATGTCGCGTACCAAGTTTCAATGACATTGACTCGTCAGTATTTTAATTAATTAGTAATATAAATTAATGTTAAATATTAAATTATACATGCTTAAAGAATGATTTATTACTAGCCATTGATGTCTGGAAAGTTATAGCAATGGTCACAGGAATCATCACATTTTGGTGTGCACGTAGGCTGAGTCACAATCCTTTATTTTACTATATGTCCGGAATGCTATTAGGCATCACGATGTCCACTCTTATCATAATATACCTCATCAGTAAATTATTGCCTAGGGTAAATTTAAATTATTTCTAGCAAATATTTTAATACTGTACAGTATATGTATGAATTTTCACAGTGTAAATATTTTCAAAACAGGGGAAATTTATGTATGTAATGGTCGCAACTGGATGGACGATGAGTCTTTATGTAGCTCAAGCTTTGTGGGAAAACGCTCAATTAATAGCTGTGCAGTATCGCGATTGGGTTATGTGGTACATCTTGATAACATCATTCATTAGTTTCATCATTTGTTATCGTTTTGGTCCTGTCACTAATAAACGGACAAAGCAAATTATACAATGGTTCTTGCAGGTAAAGTTTTACTTTTTGCTTCTATTAAATTCTAAACTTCAAATTATATTTCTTTTTACAATTATGTATTTTGATCATTTAGGCTTCGAGTCTAGTGATGATTTATTATAGCAGCCACTTTCACGAGGCATCGGTTTCATGTTGTGTCCTAATTCTGCTTATGTATAACTTTCCAATTGTTCTAATACATAGCGGAAAGAGATATTGGTAAGTTGTAATTCGAGTAAATTAAATACAAAAATGATTAATTATAAGTTTGTATTTTTTTTTTAAATAAAGTTCTCATAAAAAATGATGTGTATTCTATTTACAATTAGATATTTTAGTAGTTCCTTGAATATATGTGTAAAATTAATTTCATTGGTTATATGGATAGTAATTCAATAAAATTAAGCGTGCTATTCTTCATCCATTAATTTTAGCCATATGCATTTTCATAGGAGAATTATGTTTCCTGAAAAACGAAAATTACTAACAGAGGATCAATATCAAGTGGAAGGTATTGTAGAAACAAAGAAGGCTTTATCTCATTTACGAGAACATTGTTCCAGTCCAGACTGTAATCAATGGAAGACCATATTAAGACTGAAAGATCCAATAAGGTATTGTATTTACATTGTAAATTAAAATACTGTATAATTTTTCTTTATTTAAGATTATAATTCTAGGTTTGCAAAATTTATGGAAGGAGAGTCACATTTGTCTGATGGTGAAGTCCAACAGCACGATTTAGAGATTTCTCGGATCATAGAAGAATCTGAATACACTGATGACAATGAAGAAGATGACTGATGACAGAAATGTACGTCTTAAAATATGGTAAAGTATATCAACATATATAGTGTGAAATTAATGAAAAGGGATGTGATAGAGAAAGTAATGTGTTTTCATATTAATTGTATATACAGTCAAATGATTTGTATGATCATTTCATTTATGTCGGATATAAATAATTTATTTTTATAAAATATGCATTCCTGTATTACCCAATTGGTGTAACAGGTGTAAAAATACAATTTTTACAAACTTTATCAAGTTTTGAATTCCTGTTCTAATTTTTAATTATGATTGAGTATAGGTGTTTAAGATGTGAACTATTTGCAAAAATTACAGCAACTGTATATCAGTTTATTAATAAAGTACGTGTATACATATAAAAGCACTTAATTAGTTTTTGTAACGTTAATACACAGATTTAAAATAAATAATTACAGTTTATAAACTAAAAGATTGCTAATAATAATTGTAGTGTATAAAAATATATGTAAAGTATTGAAATTACAGATTTGTGCTCGATCTGTCTACTTAATTGTTTGACTTATTAAGTATTTTTAATATTCGTTATACTCGAGTAAGGCACTATCTAATCTTTGAATGTCTATCGATATTAATTAGTAGTAACTGGCAGTGACTTAAAAGAGATAATGTTATTCTTTGCCACGGAATTAAGGTGATATGAAAGTGTGATATATACGTACCAAAAAGTAAAAATATTTATAAAACTTTTCTCCAAACTAGGTATACCGAATTATCTGAAACTTTAATACGTGATTATGGAGACTCTAAGGAAGAACGCGCTGCCCGTGAAATTTGATTTTTCGAGAAAAAAAGCTTTTTTTATTCTTTTCCAAGATAAATGCAAAATTTTTTTCGAAAAATGAAATTTTACGAGCAATGCGTCCTTCCTTAGAGCCTCCATAATCACGTGTTAAAGTTTCAGGTAATTCGGTGCACCCAATTTGGAGAAAAGTTTTATAAATATTTTGACTTTTTGGTACGTATATATCACACTTTCATATCACCTTAAAGAACACCGTATCATTAAATTGATAGGGCCATGTTAATGAGAACGCGAAATTTTTTTGCTTTTGTCATTGTCAATAGGTGGTGGTGGTCCTTTGGCACTAATGTGGCGATTGTAAACGCTAATAAGAAGAAATTCAGTTTGAAATATGCAATGTCAATTATATTACTATCAATGAATGATCTATAAACATAACTTACTATCTGTACGTTTCGGAACGTATATAGTCCATGACATGAGATATTCCCACGCGCAATTGATCACCAATTGGTGTTACCCAAGGATTAAATTCCATTCTGAAGATTGCTTTGTTGCTGACCAAATCTAAATTCCCTACAAAGAATACATTATGACAGAACCGTCCGTATTTACATAAGTTAAATAATATTAATCAATCATAGTTGTTTGTAATACCAATTTCTGGTGGTAAGACAGTTAAACGATTCCCTTGAATATGGAGCTCTCGTAGACGGCTTAACTCTCCAATTTCCTTTGGCAATTCAATCAAGTCATTTTCCCTTAACACGAGCTATAAGAAAATTCAATGATTATTTTTAACATATTAAAAGTCTGATAGCTATTAATACAATAGTAAACAAATGCGTACAATCTGAAGATTTTTTAACTGTCCAATTTCTGGTGGTAAATATTCAAAATCGTTGTCGGCCAGGTACAACGCCCGTAGTGTTTCTAAAAATGTTTTATAATTTCAATATAATATACCATATTGGATATTTTAATTTAAAACATGCAGTATTGGTGTATACCCATCATAAAAAAGTTTCCAGGCAAGTTTCTTTCATTGAGATTATTGTATGTCAGGTCTAGAACCTCTAGAACAGGGAATGCTCCAAACCCTCGTGGAAGAACGTTTAACCTGTTCATTCTGAATTCATAATATTAATTAGAAACAAATATATATAAATTGTAATGCATAAATGTAAATATTAAAGAAACATTTTTTTTTTCTTCACTTTTTGAGGTGCGATCGAATAATGTGCTTACCCTACATTAAGAATCCTTAACTTTGGCATCTGAGATAGAGAAATAGGTAATTCAGTAATATGGTTATTAAACAGATTGAGGATTTCTATATTAACCAAATTAGCAAGGCCCGGTGGGACAACTGAAAAAGAAAAACGATAAACTGATTCTGTAGCTTAAAATTTGTACAATGTATCATCTCAAAGATTATCTCGTTCATTCTCATGTTATTTCTTTGGAAAGTAGTTGTAATGTTTTAAGTATAAATAGATTTATTAACTTGTTACGTGTGAATTATAATTTTTTATCACACCACCAGGTGTTGATGTTGCTAATATATTTATACTATCGATATTAAAGATACAGCCAAGAATCGGAATCTTCCATGCAAGAGGCCTTCACTTTTATTTACCTTGAAGTTTATTGTGACTCAATGTTAATCGGGTGATGTTCAGCATATTAACTGAAAAAAATACAAACATTGTAATTTAAACTTGACAGCGACATTAAACATAAAATGGTTATTACTAGTATACCATCTAATTTACACAGAATATTTATATAAATACATCTTAAATACAATTTCTAACGCGGTGAAGATATCAAATATGACAAGAACATTGGAGATTTTTACTGTGTACTGAATTATATAATTATATGTGCCCAATTATAAAACGTCTAAGTAATAAAATTTAAAAATAAATTAATTATCTCATACTTCATATTGCACGCATTTACATTACAACAATGTAAATTTATTTTTTCAATAAAAACTAATTACGTAGGCCATTTTTATAATTATGGGTATATATTAGAAGATCTCGTTATATAGTAAACATGATCTAGATGATAGATTACTGAAATGCATTTCAAATTGCATTGCTGCTCCCGCCATATTTCAAACGCGCCAGATGGGCGATTGCGCATGCGTGGACCCTCCCATGCGCCGAAGCAGACGGCCGGGCGGCAGCCATTGCGATAAAAAACCAGTCGTGACAAGACGCCAAATTTGGTGATCGAGAGGAGCCAGAGTGTGACAATCGAGACCAAAGGGTACTCACGTAAGCCGGGCATCTCTTCGAACGTGGAGATGCCTTTATCGGCCAGATCCAGCTCGGGATTCTGGATCTCCCGAGCTTCGTCGATCACCTTCTTCGCTTTTGACATCTTCCCGGCAGGAATGCAAGAAACTGGGGCTTGATTCATTGCGCGCGCACTTGCTGGCACGTCAGGACTTTAAATACACCGGATACCACCACTACGAATGGACCAATGAATGCAGACTATTGGAACGCCACGAACAAGGCATTACCAAGAGTGCTTCCTCGATGCGATTCCATGATGTGTGATTATCAACAGAGATGAGTTGGGAGATTGCTCACGGGCAGGGTCGCGCGATCGCACC